TATGAAATTTGATTAGATTATCAATTACCCCTATAAACAATTACTTATTTTTATGATTTGCTTAAAAAATAATAATATGAATATAAAAATAAAATAAAATAACTCGTCCTACAATTATCGGAATCATAGCTCTTCATGAATATAATATATTATAGCGAGAGACATAAATATAATATTATATCCTATACAATATAAAAGATAATAGATAATATTCTGCAAAAGAAGAAGAAGATAATACGGTAGATAGTAAATAGATAATAGATAAATGTGCAGGCCAATCTGACTAAATTATATTTATCTCAGTTAGTATTTTTTTAAATAAAGTCAAATATTATTAATACATAAAAAAAAATTACAGACCCAAAAAACCCCTTGGCAGAACATTTAAGGGCCAAACATAGCAGGACAAAAGAAAATAACAGAGGACAAGCAGGCTCAAAAGAAACATGTAGGCATCATGCACCGAGCACCATAAAGACACCAGACAGACCTGAAAAACATACGAAACCCAGAGAAGCAAAGCTCAAATCATGCTTATCTTGATCTTGCAAATGTTGTTGAGTTGAACTCGCAATGATGATATGAAGAACTGGCTTAAAAGCTAATTCACAATGAACTGATTTAAGTGCAGCGAGTAAATTACTGAATCATACAAGTTTTGATTTAGTAAATCTTCTCACAAGGATTTTGAAAGCCAAAGCTTGATATGAGGAAAATCCATGACATTGGACAGAGCATATCTGGATGAATCAAGGAAGCAAAACCTGGAACAAAGCAAACGAAACAGAACAAGACAAGAGAAAAACATTGCAGCGCAACATTTTGGATTTCCATGCAGCTGCAATGCATGGAGATCCTCAGCAAAATCATAAAAGTATGCGAGGTTCTTTGGGAAGAATCTCGCAAAACCCCAACTCTGTTCCACTGCTAAAGAATAGAGTTTGCTTGCGTTTGAGGTATGACCGAATTGAGCCTGTAATGGTAACAAGTCCGAAATCATCTCTGTTAGTATTTGAAAAATTATATGAACTTTATTTTATTTTAAAGAAAAAACACAACTTTTAATCCCTATATTTTTGCACGTAATTTGCCATTAATTCCTACATTTTATTTTCGGTGTTCTAAGTTCCTACCATTTTTTTTGTCTACACTTTAGGTCTTGGCACTTTTAAAGGAGTGTGGATGAGGCATTAACGGTGTTAATTATATTGATGTAGATACATTTTTAATTATAGGATGACATATTAGTTGGTGGCTCATGTGTATTTTTTCTATGACAAAAAAAAAAAAGCTTATATGTAATCCCTCAAATCTTTATGAGAAGACACTTTTAATCATTTTACGCATCTTAAAAAATTCATTTTTTTAATATCATAAAAAATGATATGTACTTTCATTTTTACTCTTGGCTTTAAATAATGATATAACTACATTAAATACTTTCACATTAATTAATAAAAGGTAAAATTCAAAAAATAATTTAATTATTACAAAGTGTCTTATCTTTCAGGCAAAAAAATTCTTCTAAAATATGTTTTGTAAATAGGACCCGAGGGAGTATTTTTTTTTTAATAATCAAAAAGTGAAAAGAATTTGTCCTAATCCCAAACCTAAAGAATATATTTTATAGACATTGAAAAATAATAAACCATCTCGAATCTAACACTAAACCTGACTTTGGAGCACAAAATTACAAGAAAAATACTCTGAAGCAAGAATTGTTGCGAACTTAAAAATGGACACGTAACATTTTCTTGTAATCTTAAATCCTATTGTTATATATATAATAATTATTAAAAAATACACATCAGTTTTTTTTCCTACAAAAAATACACACAAGCTTTTTTTTTCAAAAAAAACTCCCTCTGTTCAAAAATATAAGGTATTTTTAACTGAGTCTTACCCCAATAAAGTAGTTATCTACTTTCAAATTAATCCTATTTTTTATATTTATCCCTATTAAACACTCTATAATAAATATAAAGTCATATTAATATAGGCACTTTTGAAAAAAAAATAACTATACTTTAAAAGACTAAAAATGCCTTACATTTTTTAACATCCAACTCTTTAAAAAATGCCTTATATTTTTGAACGGAGAAGTACACATTAGCCATTAACTAACACGTCACTATATAATTAACGGTATTATTATCCATATCAGCAAATTAACACCGTTAATATCACATTAGCACCCCTCTGAAAGTGTAGAGACCTAAAGTGAAAATGGAGAAAACTGTAGGGACTTAAAATATTAAAATAAAGTGTAGAAACAAATGATAAATCATATGTAAAGTGTAGGAATTGAAAATCATGTTTTTCCTATTTTAAAATTAAACATGTCAACATTATTGTAGAATCAAATAACAATTTGACTCTTAAACTATGATTTCTACAATTTCTTTTATGTAATTTCTTAGTTTTTTCTAATAATTTTTGAAATATTTTTTTAATTTTTTAATCAACTAACTCTTAAAGTTAAGGGAAAGCCACATCTCAGTCCTATAGTGTTACATTGTTTTGATCCTGATCCCTATAATTTTTTCTTCAAAATACACCCCTCATAATTTACGCCGTTAGAAATCTGAAAAATAGTTTTAGGACCATGACGTGCACAAATGACATTAAAATTTTATATGTAGTTACTTTGTTGTAGCAAGTGGCACAACATGCTTGATCAAAATTGAAACCCATGCTAACAGGGCAACTAAGAAACCTCACCAGACGCTGAACCTTGAACGATCTACTGATTGTTAATACAGGACCTCAAAACGTTCTACTCACCTTCTTCTTCCAAGCATCTCGCCGACCTTGAGTCCATTCATACTACAATGCCTTGATTTGTGCCATCTCCTCTAATGTGCTTACCACCTTCATCTTTGAAGTCTTTGCAACTGTGTCTTTGAGTTGTCTTGACATTCAATTGGCCTTATGGCATCGCCACTTTGTCTCCCTTTTTAATTCCCCATTGTAGTCCTTTTGGTGATTATACTATAAATTCAGGAGTTTATATTTCTTTGACAATATTCCCTAAACTTTGGCTTCCTTTTATGATTTGGTGATGCATTAAAGCAAAATCATATCCAAAGTCCTTACTATAACAACCAAAATAGTACGATTTATTAGCCGTATGAAAAATAGAAAATGCTTTAATGGCCACTAAACGTGGATCAAGATGGTTAACGTGTGCATGACAATACTTGCAAGATAAGCTTTTAGACGTACCCCCAAAAAAAAAAAAAACTTTACACTATATATACATATACATAAACATACATACATGTATATTTCAGAAGTTATTTTGATAACCTCGGTTTTTTGTCGTAATAACAGAGATATACAGAGAATCCTTTACATTGTACTATTCTAGGCGTTAGGTGTGTGTGAGCTGAGATGATTAAATATGAATGCAAACATAAAAAAGGGCGTGTATTCAGTTCTTAGAAAAATCATCTATATGAGATACTCTTTCGCCATTACAGAATGTGCATTATCATCTCCACAGGATCGGAAAGTCCATTGGAACATGACAATAATTTTTTTTAAAAAAATCTAGACCCATAGTTCAAAGAAGAATTCAATGATCTCCCTCGATCTCTGGCCTGTCTACAGTTTTCTTGATCTCCCAGAGAAGAATTTGATGGTTTCCCTTCCCTGTCTTGAACTCTTACTCGTTCCAAACAGCTTTCTCCTTTCGATCTATACAACCCGACTCCTCTTGGCAACACCTCAATATGTTTACTTAATATGCGTGGCAATGTATGTCCTTATGTGTTCTTGGTCAGACCTTATTTAGAAACACGTCATCCCCCATCACCTTAAACTAACGGAATGCGAAAGATTTACAGACGGAAGGACTAAGTATGAGGACCTAGTTAAAACAACAGAAAATTACAAGGACCTTATTTAAAATTTGGTGAAACTATAAGTATCCGAAGATTAATTTTTCTTTAAAGTTATTGATGGAGAAGATTGCAATGATTTTAAATATTTAGAGTAAAAATGTTTTAAACAAAAAAGAAGAGGAAGTTTTGAATTCTAAATATTCTTGAATATCCAGTTGAAGGCCAAATTGTCATTTATCCTTATTTTTACTGTATCATCTCATTTCCTGAACTAATAAGTAATGACATGCAATCAATGGAATCAAAATATGCATCGTAAAAATTTCATTTATTCTGGGCCAAAAAAGCATTTCATTTATTACGATAACAAAGTCTTCACTATTTATTACTTTGAGCACTTCAACCATTAATGTCAACGCGTCAACCGAATGATTTTTTTTTTTTAAAGAAAACATTCAATTGCAACTACTTGCATTGTATTATGAATTAATATTACATTTTTAATCAAAGCAACATTTTTATGGCCTACTATCAAAGCAACAAAAAGTCTATATGTTTATACATAAAATAATATAACCAATAGTAAATTATAATTTTTTATCAGGACCAATATATTATAATATAATCAATGTATAATTTCATATCTAATGATATATTTTTAACTCAATCTTATAATATTTATTTATCTCGGATTTCTATTTCTTTTAAAAAAATATGTTTAAACAACCGCATTTATCAAAGAGATTAATTTAAAGAACCGCATTTATCACCTTCCATGTCAGGTTTTATTTACTTTAAACGAGCGTGGGCCCGTTGAATTTTGTGTTGAACGTGGGTGATGATCTCAAAAATTCTCTAGTTCTGTACCCAAAAAAAAAAAAAAAAAATTCTTAGTTCTTCTCACTCATAACTGAGAGCCTATAAATTGGAGGCCTTCCTTCTACGTATCCTTGTTGCTTCACGTTGTTCTAGCTCCTTGATCAGAGGCACCTGCTTCGGAGCCTATTAACTTCGTCTTCGAGGATTTTGATCACACTCTCTATCTCTATTTCTGTTACAGGTTTTGTAATTTTTGATTCCCCCAGTTTAATTCTGCTTTGCCATTGACTGAGCTCACTGCATTGAGTCAACACACCGTAACAATATATTGAGAAGATGGGTTCCATTGATACTCCAACGAGGTTGCTGGCGCTGCCGGGAGATTTATGCGATTATGATGCTTTGTTGATGGACCAGTTCCTTAACGTTCTTCAGGATTTGCATGGCAAAGACATCACACAAACGGTATTATGATTTTTTGCCCCGTTTTTATTCTACGCCTTTCAGTGTGGTATTTCATGTCTAGGTTAGTTTTCGGGTCAGGGAAAGATCATCTTTGTGACAGACTTTTTACTGATTTCTGAAAGCCCATATGAGTTTTCATGAAGTTATGAACTATTAGAACAAAGTCACCTGGTAAGGCTTATTTCTTCATTCTGATCAATGTTGCAAATTTTTCATCCATAAAGTTACGCATTTATCGGTTTTGATCAAGGTTTTGTAATGCACCAGGTGTTGGAAGCCCAAGTTAATTATTCCCCAAGGAATTCAAGGATCTTTTGCGTTATATAGATTTCATTTTGATCTTCCGTGGTTTGAGCAGTTGTGTTAATCGGAGTGTGGTTTTATGGAAATTTTTCATTTGCGGTCATATATAAATTAACCTTTCTTAGAGGAATCAGAGGATATATGTGTATGCATGTAAATGTTTAATCATAACACATCAACCCCATGGCCACATAAAATTTGCTGCTAGAGTCTGCGTTTTATGACTCACTGAATTAGTGATCTGATGATGAATAGGTTCAAGATTGCTATGAGCTGTCTTCTGAGTATGAAGAAGAGCATGACCCTGACAAGTTGAAGCAGCTCGAGAACAAGCTGACTGGTCTTGATGCTGGGGACTCAATCATGGTGGCCAAGTCATTTTCTCACAAGCTGAATTTGGCCAACTTGGCTGAGGAAGTTCAGATGGCCTACCAAAGAAAGACTGAGTTAATAGAGAATTGTGACTCGGATGATGAGAACACTGAATCAGACATTGAACGGACCTTCAACAAGCTTGTGAAGAAGAAGACTCCTCAAGAAGTTTTTGATGCTTTGAAGAACCAAACTGTAGATTTGGTCCTTACTGCTCATCCTACTCCGTCTGTCCGTAGCTAGAAAAGCATGCTATGTTATTTCATTTCTTATGTTAACTCAACAATTTTCTTTCTTTTTTAATCTTTCTATTGACAAAGATTACCCCCTCTTTCAGGATAAGGAATATCTTAATCCAACCCATTCAAGATATAACACCAATAGATAAGGAGGATCCTCTTGTAAAGCTACAGAGAGAGGTGAGTAATAAATTACATCCAAAAACTTGGTAAGAAATTTATTCGCGGACAAAAACTAATAACAAGTCTTATTCAAGAAAAAACAAGTTCGTATTCCCATTTTAACAATGGTCTATTTTATATTAGTCATTGTCTTTGAATAAGTTTCTTGTCAGGTCTTTGAATGTACTTCTCCCTAAATATAATTTGGTTTATTTCCTATGTACACAATGCATTAATCATAGCCAGATGATTCTCCATGTATATTGCTCTTTCTTTCACCCAAGTCAAGTGTCTATATTTTTAATCATTGATGATTCAAAATTATAGAACATTTATTCACCAAAAAAAAAAATCAATGAATTCCTAAACTTGAAGAATATATATATATATATATATATCAAATACATATATTTTCCTTCCCAAATAAAAACCTTTTTCTCCAATGAACTTGCAAGTTTTAAACAGGTAATTTAACTTAAAGACAGTAATAGTATGATATATATATATGTGTGTGTATGTATATATATATATATATAATAGGACCACTTGTTTTATACCCAAATCATGCCCTTCTACCACGTATATTCCACTGAGACAAAGGGATATACAGTGATATGTTGACGCTGCCAAACCATAAAACTCCACCTACGAATAATGAATTTGATAAGTTTCTTGAATGTGATTATCCTTAAATATAAGTTTGTCATTGCCATGTGCACACTAAACATTAATCAGAGCCCGATGATTCTTCATATATATTGCTATTTCTTTCACTCTAGTCAAGTGAAAGTCATCATTGATGTTGGCTTTAACTGTGTTAATCTGTCTGTTCCCCTTAGAACTTCCTTTTTTATATCTATTTAGTGAGATATTTATTGACATTATTGGAAGTAAATGTGTTTTATAGCCATGATTTGATGGCCCAAACTGTAGACGGCAAAGGATGTGGAAAAGGTATAACTCTGATGATGTTTTACTTAACCTGCAGATTCATGCTGCATTTTGTACAGATGAAATTAGAAGGAGTCCTCCAACCCCTCAAGACGAGATGAGGGAAGGAATGAGCTACTTTTATGAAACAATCTGGAAAGGTGTGCCTAAGTTTTTGAGGCGAGTTGACACAGCTCTGAAGAACAATGGAATAAATGAACGTGTGCCATATAATGCCCCTGTTATTCAATTCTCTTCTTGGATGGGAGGGGATCGTGATGGTATCTTTCTTTTCCTCAGGCAATTAATTAATATGCATATTCATTTGATTTTGCTTACCAAACCTTTCCTCATAAAGTAATGTTCACATCATTGAATTTCCTTGCCTTTTATTTTTCTATGTATTCATGTGGCATAAATTCTAAGATATCTGTTTACCTGGCCCTTGATTCTTCTTCAATGGACTCTCACCATCACTCTCTTCTGCATGCCATTTGAAGCGTTGCTTGTAATCTTGCACTATACAGTTCTTTGCTTCCTTACAATATGCCCCATGTTTGTTGCAGGAAATCCCAGAGTAACCCCAGAAGTTACTAGAGATGTTTGCTTACTGGCTAGAATGATGGCTGTTAACTTGTACTTCTCTCAGATAGAAGGTCTTATGTCTGAGGTATAATATAGGCTGGTTAATACCTTCAATTTTTCCTGTGTAGCATCAAGGCCATTGCTCTTATTGCACAACTTGCTTAGTTCTAACTCCTTTTTCTGTTTGGCAGTTGTCAATGTGGCGCTGCAATGACGAGCTCCATGTTTGTGCTGATAAACTCTATAGTTTGTCAAAGAGGGATGCAAAACGTTATATTGGTTAGTAGCTCTGATATTATGTTTTTATCTGAAGGATGCTTCTAACTTTTGTTGGCTTTATAACAGCATAATATGTAATTGCTTTTACTTAACATGTCATAAACTAGTTGACTACTGAAACTGAACAAGATCTCAAAATTGAAAATACCAATTCCAAACCAAAGATGAACCTTTTTATAGTTGATGTTGGTTAAATTATTATTATCAGATATTTGGTACTTGTTGAATATTTTGATAACTAGTTCTTATTGGCCTTGAATGTCATAGTGATTGATGCTTGATTGATGCAGAGTTTTCAAAACAGATTCCTCCTAACGAGCCATATAGTGTTATTCTTTGTGATGTGAGAGACAGACTGTATAATACTCGTGAACACGCTTGTCAAATATTAGTTAATGGGACCTCTGACATCCCTGAGGAGACAACCTTCACAAATGTTGAGCAGGTAATGTTAAGAAATACAATATATGCTTCTCTCTCTCTCTCTTTACTTCAGAGCTTATTTTTTTCTTGTACGCTTCTAATACATTGGTCATTTACTATTAGAAATTGTAGCAACATGCTAAATATTTACCATTGGGGTTCAACAAACAATAGAACTTCTAGCAACGTAATGACTTCATTCCTTAATATATCGTTAGCTAACTAGCTGTAATAGAAACTCGGACTTGAGATAAGATGCTAGCTGCCTAACACCTGACTTTGTTCAGATTACCTCAAACCTACAGCTTTGCAAAGGAAATACCTAATGCGAGGCATGATATAATAATTTCCAGTAACCAACTTGCCTTTGTATTGTAATAGCAGCTTACATCAATGGTCTTTTGCCACCATCCCCCTCCCCTAACCATTCTTCTTGTTTTCATTATAGTTCCTGGAGCCTCTCGAACTCTGCTATAGATCACTCTGTGCATGTGGTGACCGATTAGTAGCTGATGGAAGCCTCCTTGATTTCTTACGGCAAGTTTCAACTTTTGGACTTTCACTTGTGAGGCTTGACATTCGTCAAGAATCAGAAAGGCACACTGATGTTATGGACGCAATTACAAAGCACTTGGGTATTGGTTCTTATCGAGAATGGTCTGAGGAACGCCGGCAGGAATGGCTCTTGTCTGAGCTCAGTGGAAAGCGTCCTCTATTTGGCCCTGATCTTCCTAAAACTGAAGAAATTTCTAATGTGTTAGAAACCTTCCGTGTCATTTCGGAACTTCCACCAGACAATTTTGGTGCCTACATCATCTCAATGGCAACATCTCCATCTGATGTGCTTGCTGTAGAGCTTTTACAGCGTGAGTGTCATGTAAAAAAGCCACTAAGGGTTGTCCCCTTGTTTGAAAAGCTTGCTGATCTTGAGGCTGCTCCTGCTGCATTAGCTCGTCTGTTCTCTATAGATTGGTACAGAAACCGTATAAATGGGAAGCAAGAAGTCATGATAGGATACTCAGACTCGGGAAAGGATGCTGGCCGCCTTTCTGCAGCTTGGGCACTGTACAAGGCACAAGAAGAGCTCATAAAGGTTGCAAAGGAGTTTGGCATTAAGCTTACAATGTTCCATGGCAGAGGAGGGTCTGTTGGAAGAGGAGGAGGTCCCTCTCATCGTGCAATACTATCTCAGCCACCAGAGACCGTTCATGGCTCACTTCGTGTAACGGTTCAAGGTGAAGTGATTGAACAGTCGTTTGGGGAAGAACACTTGTGCTTCAGAACACTTGAGCGTTTCACTGCCGCAACGTTAGAGCATGGAATGCTTCCTCCTGTGTCCCCAAAACCAGAATGGCGAGCTCTCATGAATGAGATGCAGTTATTGCAACAAAGGAGTACCGGTCCGTTGTTTTCCACGAACCCCGTTTTGTTGAATACTTCCGGCGCGTAAGTGCCATTCACTTTCTATCTCTTATCAGCCTAAGAATGAAAGATACTCTTGAAAATCTCTCATTAATAAAGTTTATGTCAGAATCTTATTTTTGGGTCTGAGCTGCTGCCTATAATGGCTTAATAATTAACTATCTCTTTTCTTCCCATACTATTTTCAAAATATTTTTTATCGCAAAATTTCTTTACTTTCTCTTCCCCTTCATTTTTTTTCTTTTTCATTCACCAAGGCTCTTGCAACGTCTTTCCTCACTAATTCTCGTTGCTACTGCAGGCAACACCTGAGTTGGAGTATGGACGTATGAACATTGGCAGCCGACCCTTGAAAAGAAAGCCAAGTGGAGGCATTGAATCACTTCGGGCTATTCCTTGGATCTTTGCTTGGACCCAAACAAGGTTTCACCTGCCAGTGTGGCTTGGCTTTGGGTCAGCATTTAAGCATGTGATTGAGAAGGACCCCAAGAATCTCCAAATGCTTCGAGATATGTATAATCAATGGCCTTTCTTCAGAGTCACTCTTGCTTTGATTGAGATGGTGTTCGCCAAAGGAGACCCAGAAATTACTGATTTTCATGACAAACTCCTAGTGTCGAAAGAACTACTGCCTCTTGGAGAGCGCTTAAGGTTTAAATATGAAGAAACCGAAAGCCTTCTTCTCCAGGTAAACTTATCTTACGGTACTAACTTGCCTTTTAGTGTTCTTGTATACTTCGCTGCTGCTGTTGCTTAAATTCCTTAAATTCTGTAGTTCAGCTGCTATTGTATCATATGACTTTCAAAGAGATGTGTCTTAGTTATCCAATTGTTTCACGTTGAAGCATATAATTTACCTTCTCTATATCCATATGATGCTTAACGTTGCTTCCTTTTCTATCATGCATGTTGGTTGTTGGGCACGAGGACGTTCTTGAAGGTGACCCATCCTTAATGCAAAGACTCCGACTTCGCCTTAAATTAATCACAGCTCTCAATGTTTTTCAAGCCTACACTATGAGTCGAATCCGCGATCCAGACCATCATGTGAAACTAAGGCCGCATTTGTCGAAGGAGTACATGGAATCAAGCAAGCCAATAGCGGAGTTTGTAAATCGTAACCCAACAAGCGAGTATGCTCTTGATCTGGAGGACACTCTTATTTTGACCATGAAGGGTATTGCTGCTGGCATGCAAAACACT